CTCACAAAGCTGGGCATGGCAGTGAACTCCTACAAAGCCAGGGCTGGGTGAGGGTGGGAGTATGTATGTAGACAGGAGTCATCCCTGAAACTTCCGGGCAAGCTAGTCTAGCTGACTGATGAGTTCCAGGCTCAGACAGAGACTCTGTCTCAAAAACACAAAAGGAAAGAAAGAGAAGATACCCGACACGGACCTCTACATACACACATCAGGCAATATTGAGAGGACAGCAGTGTGATTTTATTGATATTAACATTACAGGAACTGGTAAAGATATTGGTCTTGCTGAAATCATTAACAGCAGAGGGTTAAGTTAGATTTTAGTTGGAAGTTGATGAAAATAGAGATGTAATATGATGTTTTACCCCATCAAGTTCATGTACCCAACTCCTTATCCTAAGCCCAGGTTAAGGACCACTGGATTGATGTCTCTGTCCAGGAGATGCCAAGAAGGACTCAGATAAGAGAACTGGAGCAGGCTGGATAGGCACGAGGGCTGGGGCAGGGGGTGGGGCAAGGTGACTAGAGCTGATGAAACCAGAGACTCACCTTCAGCAAGATAACTCAAAACTGGCTGGGACCAGCATGGCTGGCTGAAATCACCAGGGTCCTTTGCCTTACTATAATGGCATGTCCATGTCCTTAGCTTTACAAATCTGCCTGCTCCCAGTATGCATCTGACACAACTGGGAAAACTGTATGGAGAGACACAAGAGCCTTCCATTCCTGAAACCCCCATCTTTCTACCAATTATACTTAAGAATAATTAATTCCCCACTCCATTAAAGTTTGCCCATAAAATGAACTACCCAAAAACCCAAAGACCTGACTCTTGATAGATTTTTTTTAGTGTCTCCCCACCCCCACCCTCAACCCCCCACCCCCCCACCAGACAGGGTTTCTCTGTGTAATCACCCTGGTTGTCCACAAATTTCCTTTGTAAACCAGGCTGGCCTTGAACTCAGAGAGATCTGGCTGCCTCTGCCTCCCAAGTGCTGGGATTAAAGGTGTGCGCCACCATGCTCAGCCAACACCATCTTTTTACTTAATAAACTCAATTGCTTGCTTTACTGAATAAAGCTGTTTATTTAATGAAGCTTTGTCCTGATTTATCCTGAAATTCTTTTCTGCGCCTGTGCAGAGGAAAACTCAGGCTGTTATGTTCAACAATGTTGGATTCGCCTTCCACTGCCACAACTCTCCATCATCTCCTCTGGCACCATGGTGTGCATGTGCACGAGTGTGAGCGTGCATGTAAGCGTGTGTTCGTGTGTCCAAAGACACCCCTACTGTTTCAAAGAAAGTTGAAAAATGGGAAGCTATAGCCAAAGTCTCTCATTAAGACAACAAAATGTAATTCCTGAAAAAAGTAAATTCTGAACAAAACTCAAGTGTCTTATTGCTTAGAGCAACAAAACTGGCTTCTGTATGCTATAAATTCATCAATGCAAACACACTACAGCTCCTTCCAGAAGTTACAAATACACAATTTGTGCCTGGTGCAATTTATTGTCCGGTTAGTCTTTGTACACAACTTAGTCCAACGCTGAAACTGACAGGATTCTGAGTATTTTCCGCTGTCAACTTTGTGTCATCCCTGGCAGCGAGAATCGCTGCAACTTCACTTCAAGAGTCGGCTGTTTGGGGTGTGGTTCTCATGCGACGATCACTAAAGGCAGGAGGCTCTAAAAGGCTTCTCTACCAGCTCTCAGGGCACCTAACATTGCGCGTCTCTCTCTCACCCCGCCAGCTGCACTGGAGATCACAATAGGTTTGATTTACTTCCATGGACCCGGCTGATACACTTTAACATATGGGCGGGAAGTAGCTTGAGTTTTTCTCCACGTGTAAAACGGTAACTATAACTCTACTCCACTTCAGTTCACAGGTTTACCTGAAAATACTCCAGAGTGTCACAGAGAAACTGTGTAGGTTAAAATGAAAACAAACTATAGGAAGGCTTCAACTTCTAACTTTCCCTGTAGTTTTGGGGAAAGTGTGCCCAACAATTCTTCATACAGTCCTGTGCACACCTTCTTAAAGAAAAGTCAAATCTCTGGCATGGTGTTGACCTATTCTTCAAAAGAACTGCAATATAATTGTGTATGAAAGGCTGTTATTTCTTCTACATATTTTCATTCATAGAGATGCCACTTTAAAACTACTACTTTATTATTACTGTGTATATGGGATGTATATGGGGTGTCCACATGCGAAGGGGCACAAGTACAGATCAGGCAGCTCTACGTAAAGGGCTCTTCCCTCCCACCTTTATGTGGGCTCCAGGGATCAAATTTCTCTTCAGGATTATACAGCAAGCCTTTACCCGCCGAGCCACCATCCTAGCCAAAACCAGATATAGTTAAACAAAGCGTACTAAAGAACAGACCCGAGTGAGGCTAAGTGTGCAGGCTCCGGGCAGCAGCAATAGTAATACAGCAGTTAGTTATTTTCACACTCATATGGTGTTTCCCCTGTACTTTATACACATTAGTATTGTAATCTTCGAAGGGTTTAAAATATTTAAAGCCCACCTTTGGGGTCTGTGTGGTAATGCACCCTTCTTTAAATCCAGTGCTTGAGAGGCAGATGGCCTCTCCCAACACAGGTGGATCTCTGTGAGTTTGAAACAAGGCCATTTTGGAGCACCGTCACCAAAAAAGTATACTCTTTACTTAAATCAGTCCTTTCCAAGTTACTTTCTGCTACAGTTGAGTAAGGCCTTCTAGTGGCAAAAAAGCTAATAGAAAATCCTTCAGCATCAGGAGCAGAGTGATATGTATGTAAACTATTATACATAAGCTGCAAACACAAAAAGCAACAGAAGACAAAACCCCTTTCAGCTGGTAAGTACTCACTGCAGTCTCAGCTTGCCCAAGGTTCATGTGAACAAGATTTAAGGACCTGAGTTGGCTGTAAGCCTGGGATAAGCCCACAGAATGACCTGGATATACAAAGAATGGAAGGAACAAAACCCTAGGGCATTAGGAGAAATGTCAACCTCACATCAAGGGAGAGGTCATGACCCCACACTCTTGCTGATCAGAATGCGTGCATAGGTTCTGATTTTAGAAGACTTTCAAAGCCACAAGATGGGGAGGGAGTGGCTGCAAAATTCTGGGCGGAAAATGGGGGATGGGGCCAAGGGCTTGGGTCTAGGGAGGCCCCAACTCCCAGAGAGCAAATCTGCCCCCAGAAAAGGCTTTAGCATTACACACCAGCAAATGAGAAACAAGAGTGAGTTACACGCTGTTTGTGATTTGAGTCACATAGTACACAATAAATGTGTGCATGCAGTTTCTGTGTGTCAATTTTGTTTTTTAATTTAAGGAGTGGGATGGGGGTGGCAGACACTGAGAACCTGGCTGCAGCCTCTACCTTCAAGGGTCTGCTGAGCACAGGGCATGAGGGGCTCAGTTCCCTCCAGCTGTCCCCCCCACCTCACCCCTGCAGGGAGGCTGACTTCATTTCACAGGAGCCGACCGACATTCACTATCAGGAGCATTCCTAGAGAACCAGCTCAGAAACCAGGCTGACAAGAGATAAGAGGTCTGCAGCTGCCCAGAGCTGCTGCTGGGAACCGGCCCACAGCTGGCTGGCTGGCTGGCTGGCTGGCCCATACCAGAGAGCAATACCACGTAGCCAGAAGCCTCAAGATTTGCTCAGGCTGAACTCCGATCTACCCACCACAATCAAATTCCATCTACCAAGAGGGAACTAAAGTCTCTAAATCCTAAAGTCATTTTCAAAAGTGACACTCCATCCTGATTTACAAGGACAAGAGGAAAATACAATAGAATAAGCCCTATGGAGTTAGGGGCATGTGCAGCATGGGACCTAACTGCCGCCCTTAGATGTGGTTCAAACCCGCTGTACAACCATCCTCGACTACTGCTCTAGCACCTGCTCTTCTAAGCCAGCTGAGGATTTCTGGGCTCCTTCGGCTGCACCAGAGGACTTGGAGAGTGGGTGTCTTCCTCTGTTCTCCCCAATTTCCCAGCTCTCCACAGAGGACTGTTTAGTCTACATCTCTACCTTCAAATGGTTTTCTAACTTGACCCAAATGTCCAGCCACCTCTTTAAGGTGTTTTTCAGGCATCTTGACCTTCCAAGATCCCCATCAACTGCATTCTCTTCACCATGAAGTGGGTCTCCCTCCTTATTCCCTGGTTCCCAAGTGCTTTCCAGGTGACCAAGCTTGGACTTGGCCAGAGGCTTCAACTCATTTCTCCTTCCATCAGCTTTCCACCGTGAGGGTGCACAATTTATTCCTCAGCCTGAGCCCAAATCTCAAGTGCTGGCCAAGACTGCACTTAGTCCATTCGGATCATAGCAAGGCTCTTACTCCACCCAGGGCTCTGCCTCCGTCCTATCCCCAAATCCACTCGCTCTGCTCTCCAAAGATCATGCAGAACCACATTTCTCATGAGGTCCAGCTTCTGCTCATGGACTCACTTCTGGAACCCCTACCAAAGACAGGCAGCCAGATGCCCCAGGGTCCTCCACCAAGGAGTGTAAAGAACCTCTAGCTTCCTTATCTCATTCAGCTTGAGACCAGCCTTTTTATCAACCACAGGCCTCCAGAGTCTCCCTCCGCCCATCGAATTTCCACCTCCACGGCTTCACTAATGCAAATTCTGCCCTGACTCCTGCACAAGACCCCCCAAATCACTCATTCAACCTGCTCATTTCAGAGCTGAGGAAAAGACGCCACAAAAGGCTAAAGCAACTGGCATCAAATCACAGAGCTCAGGTGAAAGGAACTGGACCTTCCCAGGATCTGCTTTTGCTTTGGGATGAAGTAATCTTTGGGGTCAAATTTCCTTATTTGGCTAAAACCTCTAAGCCTCTAAATTAATAATAACAATAACAATAATCTAGAAGAACAACACATGGCCATATGGCTAGAAACACGTTGTGGCGTCTGAGACCCACACCTCACCAGTTTCCCACTACATGCTTAGCTGCAGTGATCCATGACGGTGAAGCCAGGCACTCACCCTGGATCTGCATCCAAGGCTCGGGGTGGTCACCCTTTCTTCCACTCTGCTGTCTGCCTATTAAATTCAAATAAAGCATCCACTTATTAGAGCAGTGAAAACACACACCTACATCAGCAGACAGGTGCCCCAGGCCACCACAGCTGCTTCGTAATACATCCAAAGTATATCTGTGGTGTGTATAAGCGTGTGTGTGTGTGAGTGTGTTGCACGTGTCTGTTTATTCATGTATGTGTAGAAGTGTGCATGCACAGACGTGCACAGGCATGTAGAAACCAAGGATCAATGGCAGGCGTTTTCCTCTATCGGTCTCTACTCTTTAAAGATTTATTTACTTTTGTTTTATGGCCCGTAAGTACATCAGTGCACCACAAGTGTGCAGTGACCTCAGAGGTCAGAAAACAATTTCAGATCCCCTAGAACTGAAGATTTATTAGACACCAATGGGTGCTGGGAATAAACTCCAGTCCCCTGGGAGAGCTGAGTGTACTCTGAACTGCTGAGCCATCACTCCAGCTCTCCCCCTTACTTTTGAGACAGGGTGTCTAACTGGACCTGGAGCTCAATAACCCGAGTTGACTAGACAGGCTAGTCATTGAGCCTAAGAATTCTCTTGTCTTTACCCATGCTTCCCATCCCATCCCACCCCAATGCTGGGATCAGTCTCTCATTCACTCGCAAGGAGAGTCCATCTGCATAGGGGCTGGGGATTGGAACTCAGGTCCTCACACTTCACTCGGAGAGCCCTCTACTGACTAAACCATCTCCCAAGCCTCTGGAAACCACATTTTAAAAAGACAAGCAATTCTGATTCCTTTGCACACACCTGCCTTTCCCTCTAAGAGGTCGTGTCTCAGTGTGCACCATCACAGATTTGCACAACAATGTATCCAAGTGCACAATGAACCTGGAGCAGGCGGGACTCTTAGCAAAGGTCTAGAATGAGCTCACTGCTCCCCTGACCAGCAGGTGACCACAGACCGTCCGTGTGGAGCTCTGTGCTCTCCTAGTCTCGCACGTGGAGCTTTTCCTGGAAGGAAAACAATCCACACAGCACAGCCTCAGCCAATGAACACTAGAGGACTGCCTGATGTAATGATCTCTCACGCACACCAAAATCAAATGGAACAGACCGAAACGTCGGAGGGATGCAAATTCCTAGGCATTAGTCATGGATTTCGAGAAATGAAAATATTTTACAAATCTTTCCACTCACTTGGAAACTTGGGAACATGGCTATTTCTGGAACAATAAGAAGGGTTTGACCACAGTACCTATATATTAATATCATGGTCAACACATAATTTGCTAATATTCAAATTACAAGGAACCATTAACTTATTACTCATAAATGAGTTTTGGTTTGTTTCTGAACTCAAACTTTATAAGCTTTAGTACTTTTTGTTTGGAAACGTACATTGTATTAAAAATGGACAATAGAAACAGTCACAAGTGACTATAAGCAAATACTGTCTCAAAAAAAATCTTAGTCTATTTTCACCTAATGACTGATTTCCTTAGGGTCCGCCCAGTAAAAAGAACTTCCGCAGAATACCATTCTTGGCTAATTTTCTGCCTTTAACAGGCCTATAATTGTAAACTTCACTGAACAAACAAACTTCCTTCCTATTTTTGAAGTTTTCCAAAAGTGGAGTGTCTAACGTTTTCGGTTGGCCAGCTTTTCCTAGTTTAAAATCTTGGCAATAAGAAATTCTTCCCAGTACCCTGAGAGAGGAAAAGAACCAGGGACAGTAGAGCAGTCCCGCTTGGGGAAAAGGCTGGAGTTATGACCTTGGGCAAAGACATTCAGGCTGTGGGCAGCAGAAACCAGTGTAATTTCTCTGCCCAGGTTTCCTCTTATCTGATCTAAATGGCTTGCTGCTTGAGGAAGCACCGCATTCTTTCTGTCCTACTGAGCAAGAGTTTAACAGCCACACCACGTGACAGGTCAGAACCCAAGCACCACAGCAGGAGAGAACTATAAAGAGAGCGCTAGATTCCTCCTTGGTAAGTGTGCGGGAGTGAGTGGGTGTCTGCAAGTGTGCATGTGAGAGCACACACCCAGGCAGACATGCAGAAGTCAGAGAAGGGTGGTAGAAGATGTCAGGTGCCAAGTTCTGTCACCTCATTCTCCATCTTAGGCTTTTGACACGAGGTCCCTCACTGAATCTAGAACTACACCCCCAAGAATCCTTCTATTTCCACCCCATACCATACTTGGGTTCAGGGATGCACATGGTATGCCAAGATTTTTACATGGGTGTTGGGGATTTGCGCTCATGTCTTCACACTAGAGCAGCAAGTATTCCTACCCACTGAGCCATCTCTTCGGTCCCTGAACATTCTAGCTCTAGTCACTTCACCCATGGAGGGAAGGAAGAGCTGAGGTGGTAGCTCAGTGGGAGAGTACTTGCCTGGCATCCTCAAGGCCCTAAGCTCAGTCCTCACCAGCAAAAAGAGAATAGTGCTGGTAATAATGATAAATAATAAGAAAGAACAGGGCTAGGCGACCGCGGAGTCATCTCTACCCACAAGTGCAATGAAGCAGCGTTGATGAATCACGTTTAAGTGCTTAATCTGGCCCAGGAATTGCTTCATACTGAGTAGCTAAAAGCTAAGTGGCCTGAAGGAAAGCTATTTATCCCCATTCTACTGACAAACACACCGACATTTAGAAACAGTAAGACAGAGCCCACTCCAAAGATGTGTCCCTCTTCCTGGAGATGCATGGGTAAAGATTTATGATTCTGGTCCAAGTTGCAATCACAAAACAATTCCAAATTGAACAAGAATAAAGTGGATATTCAACACCATATGCTCACATATCAGAATCTGGGACCTAGGGAAGTCTACCACACCCAAGCTGAAGAGACTGAGAAGATGTAGTTAGCATCAGTTAGTCTAGAAATTCAAACTAAAGCAAGCCTGGCAGCCACATGTGCTGGGGCAAACCTGCAATCCCAGCCGTTGAAGGCCTAAGCAGGAGACCAAGAGTTCCAGGCCAGCCTGGGATGCACGGAGACAAGGGACGAGGAAGGAAAAGGGAAAAGAAAAGAGGAAAGGGAGGAAAAGAGGAAGAGAAGGGAGCAGGGAAGAGAAGACAAACCCAAAAATCACCAATAAATTGCAATCTTGGCCTCCATCACCTCAAAACTGACCTCTTAGGCCTGAACCCCTTGGCCTGAACATTCTTCCAGTCCTGACCATCTTTGATTTTCTACCAGGGTTTCCCTCTCCTATTTTCTTCTCTCAGAGAAGGCCAAGAACTCCTGAAATGCACAGCTATGGAAAGTATTTGCTACTGGCAACAGGTTCCACCCTTGAATGGCTACTTTCAAAAGCAGGCTAGTTGATCATTTATGCCTTTCTCTTAAGGGAAGAAGTTCTGTTTCTCAGTGGACAAGATCCTTTTCCAAGTTCTGCCAACCTGTTTCACCCATGCTACCAGCCAGCACAGCTATGGCAGATGAAGCATGGCAAACTTAGAGCCAGACAACTCAGCCCTTAATTTTAGTAGCCACGACTTGCGCTGTTCGACACCGTGGCCCAGACAGTAATGCACAATATTCTTGGGAGAGAGATGCGAGAATGACATGAAATGTCTCTCCACAGCAGCAGTGAACATTTAAGATAGGGTGTGTGCCAGTCAGCTAGATTTAATCATTCCGTGATGGACATACTTCAAAGCATCAGGAAAGTATAGTAAACACAACTTCATCTGTCTATAACAACATAACTTTTAAAAGTAGCTATGTCTCTGTGAGTTAGAGGCCAGCCTTGTCTAGAGTGAGTTCCAGGACAGCCAGGACTACACAGAGAAACCCTGTCTCAAACCCAACCTCCCACCCCTAAATAAATAAATAAATATAAAAATAGCTATCATGGGGCCAGAGGAATGGTTCAGCACTTTTAAGAGCACTGGCTGCTCTTGTAGAGGACCTGGGTTCAATCCCAACACCCATATGACTGCACTCAGCTTCAGTTTCAGGGGATACGACCTCCTCTTTTGACCCCCACTTGTACTGCACACACACGGCACACAGACAGCACACAGACATACATACAGGCAAAACACATCACATAAAATTTTTTAATATTAAAATGGATCTGATAAGTTACCTAACTTCTCTAAACTTTGGTTTCTTCATATCCCTTGCCCACACACAGATTAACAAAGCCATAGGAAGAGCCAATAATCGCACTAGTATCACAATTATTCCAAGAATCGGGAAACCTATTGAACTTGACTACTCCCAACACAATGACTGGCACACATAAAATGTCCAGAATGTGATTATCTCTTCCTCTCCATGTTATTTCAATGATAACCCAACTTTTCCTTCTCTTAAAGGCCCAATGTAGGTAATGCTTTTCCAGACAAAAATCAATCACCCCACTGGAGGAAGGGAAATACATCAGGCATATAGCTCACTTCCTGTGAGTCTTCTGGGAAGGAGAGCACTAACTGGACCAGTGTGTCACCACAGCTCAGCGCCAGGGAGTGGCTCTGCCACCCCCAGCCCCAACAGCTCTCACCCTGCAAAGGTTCAGGGCATCCTTTCTCCCTGCACCCAGTTCACACAGCTGGTCCTTCCAGGCCACTGGGGCCTCGTGTTTGTTTATTGCACTTTTCCTAGGTCAAAGGCTCCACTGGCACCAACCACTGCTCACACGCCTTACCTCCACCTGTCCATTTCCCATGGCCACCTTGATCTGAAATTCACAAGCATGCTCTTACATGACTAAATAAAGTATGGGGAAATACATTGTTTCAAATACATGCATAGTTTGACTCATATGAACAGTTTGAAGACAGTGCAAGCAAATCAGCAAGACAATATTAATGTGTACAAAACCCAGAGACAGAAATGTGGGTTTATGTTCAATCATAAATTAGCTACGTGAGCTTAGTGACCAAAATTAACTGCTCTGGAAGCCAGTTTTTATGTATAAAAGAACAAGCAGAATTGTGTTCAAAGCTCCACTCCACATACTCCAAACAACAGGACTGAATTCCAGCAAAATGACCACACCTGACCACAGCCATTGACAGGATG